GTTTTTTATACAAGTGTATCGTAGACCACTTTTCCATTCAGTATTATTTAACCAAATATATTCCTAAGAATTATAGAATTAGTCTAACAAAGTTACGAATGTCTGCACATTCATTAGCAATCGAGACCGGTAGATATCGCAACGTTATTCGAGAACCGAGATATTGTACGAACTGTAATTCGGCTACAGAAGTCGAAGATGAATACCATTTTATTCTGATATATAAAACCTACCAAAACTTAAGAAATCGCCTTATTAAAAAGTACTATTGGAAAAAGCCATCCATGTTTAAATTTATACATTTTTTGTGTATTAACAATACTAAGGAATTATGTCAACTTGGTAAATATATTTTTGAAGCTAATAAGTTAAGAATCTAATTTATTTACTCCACTCTCTCACTGTGTATTGTGAGCCGTGTTATTGTGTATATTATGCATTGTATTGATATGTTTGTACTGATGGGCCGTAAGGCCGAAAGTTAATAAAAGAATTGAATTGAATTGATATCTCTTGCTACTATTTGTTACAGTTTTCCCTGGCCACAATGAATCGTTTGGAGGGTGTTTATCAGGGTCGTATATTTCTTGGTCCTATTTGTAACAGTTTACCCTGGCCACAATGAATCGTTTGGAGGGTGCTTATCAGTGTCGTATATCTCTTGCTACTATTTGTAACAGTTTACCCTGGCCACAATGAATCGTTTGGAGGGTGTTTATCAGGGTCGTATACCTCTTGCTACTATTTGTTACAGTTTTCCCTGGTCACAATGAATCGTTGGGAGGGTGTTTAACAGGGTCGTATACCTCTTGCTACTATTTGTTACAGTTTTCCCTGGTCACCATGAACCGTTTGGAGGGTGTTTAACAGGGTCGTATATCTCTTGCTACTATTTGTTACAGTTTTCCCTGGCCACAATGAATCGTTCGGAGGGTGTTTAACTGGGTCGTATATATCTTGCTACTATTTGTTACAGTTTCCCTTGCCACAATGAATTGTTTGGAGGGCGTTTATCAGGGTCGTTTATCTCTTGCTACTATTTGTTACAGTTTCCCTTGCCACAATGAATTGTTTGGAGGGAGTTTATCAGGGTCGTTTATCTCTTGTCACTATTTGTTACAGTTTTCCCTGGTCACAATGACTCGTTTGGAGGGGGTCGCAGTGTGAGGTGACATTATTCAGATATCACTGAAAACTTTCACCCACGAGGAGGTATTTGCCAGATTGCACAGGTCCAGTCATTGCATATTGCATTTTTATAATATTTGATGGTTCTATAATTGTAGATGTATCGACTGATATAACGAATTAGCTGTATATGTACTATTAAACACCTAAGATTGTTTTACTTTAGCTAGATAAGGTGCCTTATCAAAAGATAAATGTTTATACACTGTCTGTAATCAGTTGTACCGTCACAGATACTGATATGTTTGCAGTCAAACTATTAAGGACGATCATTATCTGATAGATGCATATCAACAGTTGTGCATGATATTCAATATATACACTGGTGAATTCCTATACACGTATAGAACCGAGGGATACGTGGGAGAGAATTGAGATCACGAGTCGTAAGTCTAGATAATACATTACCAATAGCTATAGTTCTGAGATAACTATCTCTTATTAATGAATCGTTTGGAGGGTGTTTAACAGGGTCGTATACCTCTTGCTAGTATTTGTTACAGTTTTCCCTGGCCACAATAAATCGTTTGGAGGGTGCTTATCAGGGTCGTATATATCTTGTTAATATTTGTTACAGTTTTCCCTGGCCACAATACATTGTTTGGAGGGTGTTTATCAGGGCCGTTTATCTCTTGTTACTATTTGTTACAGTTTTCCCTGGTCTCAATAAATTGTTTGGAGGGTGTTTATTAGGGTCGTTTATCTCTTGTTACTAGTTATAACAGTTTTCCCTGGCCACAATGAATCGTTTGGAGGGTACTTATCAGGGTCGTATATATCTTGTTAATATTTGTTACAGTTTTCCCTGGTCACAATGACTCGTTTGGAGGGGGTCGCAGTGTGAGGTGACATTATACAGATATCACTGAAAACTTTCACCCACGAGGAGGTATTTGCCAGGTTTCACAGGTCCAGTTATTGTATATTGCATTTTTATAATATTTGATGGTTCTATAATTGTAGATGTATCGACTGATATAACGAATTAGCTGTATATGTACTATTAAACACCTAAGATTGTTTTACTTTAGCTAGATAAGGTGCCTTATCAAAAGATAAATGTTTATACACTGTCTGTAATCAGTTGTACCGTCACAGATACTGATATGTTTGCAGTCAAACTACTATTTGTTACAGTTTTCCCTGGTCACAATGAATCGTTGGGAGGGGGTTTAACAGGGTCGTATACCTCTTGATACTATTTGTTACAGTTCTCCCTGGTCACAATGAATCGTTTGGATGTCGTATATCTCTTGCTACTATTTGTAACAGTTTACCCTGGCCACAATGAATCGTTCGGAGGGTGTTTAACTGGGTCGTATATATCTTGCTACTATTTGTTACAGTTCTCCCTGGTCACAATGAATCGTTTGGATGTCGTATATCTCTTGCTACTATTTGTTACAGTTTGCCCTGGCCACAATGAATTGTTTGGAGGGTGCTTATCAGGGTCGTATATATCTTGTTACTATTTGTAACGGTTTTCCCTGGCCACAATAAATCGTTTGGAGGGTGCTTATCAGGGTCGTATATATCTTGTTACTATTTGTTACAGTTTTCCCTGGTCTCAATAAATTGTTTGGAGGGTGTTTATCAGGGTCTTTTATCTCTTGCTACTATTTGTTTCAGTTTTCCCTGGTCACCATGAACCGTTTGGAGGGTGTTTAACAGGGTCGTATACCTCTTGATACTATTTGTTACAGTTCTCCCTGGTCACAATGAATCGTTTGGATGTCGTATATCTCTTGCTACTATTTGTTTCAGTTTTCCCTGGTCACCATGAACCGTTTGGAGGGTGTTTAACAGGGTCGTATATCTCTTGCTACTATTTGTAACAGTTTACCCTGGCCACAATGAATCGTTCGGAGGGTGTTTAACTGGGTCGTATATATCTTGCTACTATTTGTTACAGTTCTCCCTGGTCACAATGAATCGTTGGGAGGGGGTTTAACAGGGTCGTATACCTCTTGCTAGTATTTGTTACAGTTTTCCCTGGTCACCATGAACCGTTTGGAGGGTGTTTAACAGGGTCGTATATCTCTTGCTACTATTTGTTTCAGTTTTCCCTGGTCACCATGAACCGTTTGGAGGGTGTTTAACAGGGTCGTATACCTCTTGATACTATTTGTTACAGTTCTCCCTGGTCACAATGAATCGTTTGGATGTCGTATATCTCTTGCTACTATTTGTTTCAGTTTTCCCTGGTCACCATGAACCGTTTGGAGGGTGTTTAACAGGGTCGTATATCTCTTGCTACTATTTGTTTCAGTTTTCCCTGGTCACCATGAACCGTTTGGAGGGTGTTTAACAGGGTCGTATATCTCCTGCTACTATTTGTTACAGTTTCCCTTGCCACAATGAATTGTTTGGAGGGAGTTTATCAGGGTCGTTTATCTCTTGCTACTATTTGTTTCAGTTTTCCCTGGTCACCATGAACCGTTTGGAGGGTGTTTAACAGGGTCGTATATCTCCTGCTACTATTTGTTACAGTTTCCCTTGCCACAATGAATTGTTTGGAGGGTGCTTATCAGTGTCGTTTATCTCTTGCTACTATTTGTTACAGTTTCCCTTGCCACAATGAATTGTTTGGAGGGGGCTTATCAGTGTCGTTTATCTCTTGCTACTATTTGTTACAGTTTTTCCTGGTCTCAATGACTTGTTTGGAGGGCGTTTATCACTGTCGTTTATCTCTTGCTACTATTGGTTACAGTTTTCCCTGGCCACAATACATTGTTTGGAGGGTGCTTATCAGTGTCGTTTATCTCTTGCTACTATTGGTTACAGTTTTCCCTGGCCACAATGAATTGTTTGCAGGGTTTTTATCAGGGTCGTTTATCTCTTGTTTCTATTTGTAACAGTTTTCCCTGACCACAATGAATTGTTTGGAGGGCGTTTATCACTGTCGTTTATCTCTTGCTACTATTGGTTACAGTTTTCCCTGGCCACAATGAATTGTTTGGAGGGTGCTTATCAGTGTCGTTTATCTCTTGCTACTATTTGTTACAGTTTTCCCTGGCCACAATGAATTGTTTGGAGGGTGCTTATCAGTGTCGTTTATCTCTTGCTACTATTTGTTACAGTTTTCCCTGGCCACAATGAATTGTTTGGAGGGTGTTTAACAGGGTCGTATACCTCTTGCTACTATTTGTTACAGTTTTCCCTGGTCACAATGACTCGTTTGGAGGGGGTCGCAGTGTGAGGTGACATTATACAGATATCACTGAAAACTTTCACCCACGAGGAGGTATTTGCCAGATTGCACAGGTCCAGTTATTGTATATTGCATTTTTATAATATTTCATTGTTCTATAATTGTAGATGTATCGACTGATATAACGAATTAGCTGTATATGTACTGTTAAACGCCTAAGATTGTTTTACTTTAGCTAGATAAGGTGCTTTATCAAATGATAAATGTTTATACACTGTCTGTAATCAGTTGTACCGTCACAGATACTGACATGTTTGCAGTCAAACTATTAATGACGATCATTATCTTATATATGCATATCAACAGTTGTGCATGATATTCAATATATACACTGGTGAATTCCTATACACGTATAGAACCGAGGGATACGTGGGAGAGAATTGAGATCACAAGTCGTAAGTCTAGATAATACATTACCATTAGCTATAGTTCTGAGATAACTATCTCTTATTACAGTTGTGGGATCGCACAACGTTGCACGATGTGCCGTGTGCGGACGATGTGTGCACGGTGTGTGAACGATGTGTGCACGATGTGCGATCGATAAAAAGTTGGACGATCATTACTTGCGCACACGTTGTGCGATAACAATCGTTGTCAGTGTAAATTGAGGAATACCTTAAAAATATATATGGTTTCGTGTTTAAACATATAAACTTGATTTTTATGTGTGTTTCTATATTGTTGCTACATCTATAACCTTATCTTTCTGTCTAAAATTTCTTAAATTTAGAAATTGTGTTTTCTGTGTTTTTAAACGACCTTAATCAACATATCTAAAATTACAACACAGTCCCGTCAACAGGTAAACATAGCCACTTTCTACATGTACCTGGACCGTAGTTTTCCCCCGTCCGGGGCACTAACGTAGCTCGTTGGGTAGGGCCGGGTGTGTGAAAACCCAGGTGAAGGGTAGATTTAGGCAAATCGAATGCACTTAACAAATACTAAACATCAAGTTGGTTTTTTCATAACGGTCATACGGTATCACATATCAGCTCTATGTGTCAAGCCAGGTAAAAATCCGGTCACTCATCATATGTTATTTAACTGTTCTGATACTTTGTTACGATTGTTAAATCGCACAGTCGTGCGCACCATGTGTGGACGATATGTGGATGGTGTGTGGACGCTGTATGAACGGTGTACGTGTGTCCGCTATATTTCGTGCGTTGTGCGGTCACACAACTGTATAATTAAAAAATACATATACTCATAAACTCATATTCACATATAATATTTATTGAGGTAAGTTGTGATTTGATGTTGTCACAGGTCAACACAGACGGGATCCGACATGGCGGGAATGACGGGAGGTAAGCTTGTCAGTATAATGGCGTTGCATTATAAGGTCAATGTTATCACTTGTTTACTTATAATGCCATAACATACTAAATTTCTCTTGAAGGGCTAAATGATAACTATATGTCAATCAAAAACTGGAAAGTCACGCATACACCTAATCTGCATGAATAATTACACGTACACCTGATCCTCCTCTATAATTACACGTACACCTGATCCTCCTCTATAATTACACGTACACCTGATCCTCCTCTATAATTACACGTACACCTGATCCTCCTCTATAATTACACGTACACCTGATCCTCCTCCATAATTACACGTACATCTGATCCTCCTCCATAATTACACGTACACCTGATGCTCCTCCATAATTACACGTACACCTGATCCTCCGCCATAATAACACGTACACCTAATCCTCCTCTATCATTACACGTACACCTAATTGGCCTCCATAATTACACGTGCACCTGATCCGCCTTCATAATTACACGTACACCTGATCCTCCGCCATAATAACACGTACACCTGATCCTCCTCCATAATTACACATACACCTGATGCTCCTCCATAATTACACGTACACCTGATGCTCCTCCATAATTATACGTACACCTGATCCTCCTCCATAATAACACGTGCACCTGATCCTCCTCCATAATTACACGTACACCTAATCGGCCTCCATAATTACACGTGCACCTGATCCGCCTTCATAATTACACGTACACCTGATCCTCCTCCATAATAACACGTGCACCTGATCCTCCTCCATAATGACACGTACACCTGATCCTCCTCCATAATTACACATACACCTGATGCTCCTCCATAATTACACGTACACCTGATCCTCCTACATAATTACACGTACATCTGATCCTCCTCCATAATTACACTTACACCTGATGCTCCTCCATAATTACACGTACACCTGATGCTCCTCCATAATTATACGTACACCTGATCCTCCTCCATAATTACACGTACATCTGATCCTCCTCCATAATAACAAGTACACCTGATCCTCCTCCATAAAAACACGTGCACCTGATCCTCCTCCATAATTACACGTACATCTGATCCTCCTCCATAATTACACGAACACCTGATGCTCCGCCATAATTATACGTACACCTGATGCTCCGCCATACTGTCAATATGTAATCAATGTTTGCTATTGGTTTAGACACTCACGGAAGCTTGCTTCGGTAATTTTGAAGGCCTGTATGACTTTTGTCACTCTTTCTCTTTTACAGTTTACAATTTTACGAGTGATGTGTTTCGGGTGACGGCTGATATGAAAAAGAACTTCGACGATAAAGGATACATTTTAGTTAGGTAATTATTTTCCAGAGACATTTTGATTGATGGTGATTCGAAAAGAACAAAGATATCTTTATAAAAATAGAACAAATTATTACAGAGAAAAGATAATGTTTTCATTAAAATGTAATGACAATGTGCGTGGTACCGATTAACCAAGTATAAGGCAGTGTTTTCTTGCAATTTCTTCTCACGTACACATCATTGTTATATTTATTACAGAGGTATGTTTGATGGAAAGGAGATGGCAAATCTGCGCAAAGTCTTCGAGGAAACAGACTTGATTACAGACCATGGATTGCAAGTAAGTATATGCGTTTAATTACAATGAATAGGTCTAAACAGTAGGTGCCAGAGGGTATCCATTATTGAATAGATTTTAAAACATGGTTCCTTCTTCAATTCCCCCCTTATAATTGATTAACAAACACATTATTTCAGGTTGGCGATGGAACAGGCAAAAAAACTAAAATTGCACTCTGGACCCATCCCGGAAGTGACGTATCTGGAATGATGGCACGGTGTGAGAAGGTTGTCAATACATGTGAAGATGTAAGTTGCATGTAAACATGTTGATATTGATCTTTGCAATTTTATCTAAATAACAAAGCTGACGATTAAGTCTTTTGTGCTAAATCAAAATAGACGAATACATGGTAACATACGTTTCTTTAGAACTAATACAGAAAATATACCGTTCCAATTTTATCCTTCAATTTCAGCTCCTGGGAAAGGGTGAAGTGTATCACTATCACGGTAAATTACTGTACAAAGACGCATTCACCGGTGGCGCCCACCTGTGGCACCAGGACTACGGGTAATCTAGCTCATCACTATCTGAGTATTGGTAGGGCCTATAAGTTATAAATATCAGCTACCTATTATTTCATCTGTATATCTTATAATGATAACGGCAGTCAGGGTTAGCCTTGTGTTCCAGGTACTGGTATCGGAATACGTGCCTCTTCCCAGATTTGATGACCGTGTTTGTGGCTATTGACAAGTGTGCCAAGTCTAACGGCTGCTTGCAGGTATGGAATAAATGTTCCGAAGTGAAAAAAGCACGAAAACGGAAATAGACTAGGAACTTATATATGAAAACTCAATACACCACATATTCTATAACGCAGTAATACAAGGAGACTAACCTAAATGTTCCGGAAGCCTAAACCTGTGTTGGGCAATCTGTGGCACCCATCATGATCTCTCCCATAACATCTGATAAATTACTGAGAGAATGATATAAAACAAGGTGAACAAGCCTTTAGATAATGCGTACAAACGTACTGAATATTTCTATCGCGGTGGTGTAAATCTACACTGAAGACATAATTTTACTGTAGTCACCAGTCTGCCATGAAAAATGTTCTTTTGTTTTACTGTATCTTAAATCGTTTATAACTTTGGTATTAAAAAGTCACAATGACTGGTTGTACATGTGGTGGTGGACATCTTGAAGATCCTTCATATCACCTCCTCTTTTTTGACTCAACATTGGATACAATTTTCCCCTAACAAAACCATTATGTTTTTGTCTTTAGATCCTGCCTGGGTCTCAAAAGTGTGGTCGGATTGATCACGAAATGGTGGCCGGTCAGATGACTGCCAAAGCAGAGCGCGTGGCAGCAATAAAAAACGTTTGTCCACTTGAATATGTAGAGATGGAAGCGGGTACGTGTATGTAATGATATCATTAAATAGTGTACACAGTATAAGTCCTATGTTTGACACAAACATGATAACTTTCTCGCACAGTTAAAGAAGTTTGTTCATTTTGAAGGTGACGCATTGTTCTTCCACTCTAACCTGCTGCACTGCAGTTCCGCTAACGACAGTCCCGACAGAAGGTGGGCCTACCTAATAGCGTACAACACTAGAGCCAACAACCCATTGGTCCCCCACCACCACGCCCAGTACACGCCCATCCAAAAGGTACGGCAGATTTAGCCAAAAGTAACAGTTCTTTTGTCGTTCATGCTTCGGTCCTCTGTTCAGTTAAACAATACATGCTTCTACTGCTAATTCAAATTGACTAATGTTTATTTTTTAGTAAAAAAGTAAATGAAAAATTGGTTTTTTGTATAAACTGCTTTCAGGACAAACACGAGAGTTTTATATAATGAGCTATTTTAACTCTTAACAGGGTCTTATATCCTCTCTGCATACTTGTATCCGTGTAATTTTGTCGGTATACAGACTGTATACTGTTGTTCTTTGTGGGGTCTTTTATGCAATACCATATGTGATGTTGGCTATAATTTAAAGCCGATAAATATTTCTTCACTCCAGTATGAGTAATATCTGGGTAAGGAGGGGTCTACGGGCTAATATATCCCGTCTGGTCTTAATAGACCCCGAGCCGAAGACAGGCTCCTACACCCCCGACTGGTAATTTTAGAACCCGATACGAAGGCAGTCTTAGGGTCTATAAAGACCAGACGGAATCTATGAGCCCGTAGAACCCTCCTAACCCAGAGACAATGAATTTGTCACCTTGACAATCTTTAATACCATTTTTCATTCCGCGAAAGTAAAAGTCACTTAGTGAGTTTGACTTATACATGACTGTTCACTCAAAATTGCCTCTACCGGACACCTTTTTTGCAATATTTTGGACAATTCACAACCATCTAGCGGCCCCTTTATATGTTTTTTTTCGTTGAAATTGCTGTCGTTTTAGCTATATAATCATGTGAATGATTTGCAAACCTCCAACGCTTCTTTGGTGTCGGACGCCATCATTGTTGTTTTGAAGAGATATTCTAGTTTGAGTTATCTCCCCTTGCATGTCCCTTTATAGACCCGGCTCTAAATCATAGACCCTGGCAAGATATCCAATCAGAAAGAGTGTTACAAATTAAAAGGGTGACAAATTAAGACAATTGGCTAAAGTAAACTCAAGATGATGACGCTTTTACTAACCGATACTGGTCAGTTGGAATCCATATGACAGCTCGGGACAACATATTTCCTCTGGAATACCATGTTTAAGCTTCAAAGAATCCGTAAGGAGTTCCTCTAATTCATGTCGTAAGTTGCTGTACATATATTACTTACACAATCTGACGATGTGTTATTGTTGTCAATGTGACGGTTCTCATGTCTTGTTATGTCCGACTCCCTTAGGTCCCTGACAGAGCCGTGGCGGAATGTACCAACTACACCGACTTTACCGACAAAGAGTTCCTTGAGGGACACGAGTCAAAAACGTCCAACTTCGACAAAAAGGAAACATGAAATTCCGCAATGTTAATTACGGCAACTTAGACAGCCTGTGGTATATCCTATTGTAAATAGCTATATAGTACGCGGCTGAACAGTGATAAACTGTTTGATATTTCATCAAGTACTGAAGTGATATTTCATCTGAACCAAAATAAAACAAAAATATACTCATATGTTGTAATATCTGCATTATATATTGTTATATAAGTAATATAGAATACCAAAAAATATTCTAGGGTTAGGCACTTATAAAATGGTATTGCCTCCATTTATGGAAACAAACAAAATGCATCGCACATATATCTCTCCTGATTTGGAATCACCATACACGATGCTGACATGATTTTGACGCCACTAAAAGTAATACTTGCCGTAGTGTTTAACGTCTAAGATAAATTGACCAGATATGGTGTCAGACACGATGTCTACAGAATGCCTGGAGCGGTTAGTGATGTACAACATCTAGTGTGACACTATCAGGCTAGCAGCACACATTAGGCCGAGTGTACAACATTTTTAAAACTCTAAATGAATATGATATTACAGTGTAAACTAAAAATACAAAAGGCTAACAGAAATATCGACAGAACTCCTATTACATCGGACATAACATGCATGAAATGCCCGGTTAGAAACCAATAATCTGTTGTAAATAATGTATTGAAATGTTTTATAGGCAACTGTTAATGTTTAGTGTAGTTCTACACGTTTGACCACACTTTCGACACAGAGTTTAATCCTCTTTGACCTAATTACATCTGATGTCCTCCACAAACATCATGGCTATATGGTATAGTACATTTTCAGTGTGCAGCATCGACTTACACATTACTTTGAAGAAGGTATAAAACATACACACAAAGAAAAAGGTTGAGCACCCCCTTGTATATTTAATTATAATATGTTACCATAAATTTCAATTTTAATGCATATGTTACAATACAATTATCAACCGACTGGTCAGGAAATACACCCAAACCAACTCTGTGAAAGACTTGCCGAGATATGGCAAGACGGATGCCATTCGCAGCAAGCGTCATTCTCAATCGCCATTGGCTACCCAACAGACGTTTTTTCTTCAAGGAGAGAGAGGAACCGTTTGAAGTCAACGGGATTGAAGTCAAGGAGGGTAATACAACGTGTTAGTCGACCGACACCAACGGTCACGTTGTGCGTGTTATTTAGAACGACGTTGTTGACGACAGTTTGGAGACAGAAAAATACGGCGTATACCTCAAGGAACATCCAGCCAACTGTGGAGGCTCAGTAATGATATGGGGGTGTATCATGGTTGCAAGCTGGTCTTGGTTACCACCATTTAGGAAATCTAACAGATAATCAGTACAACAGAGACATGTAACAGCCACTTCTACTAGCAGCAAGACAGGTGTTTATGGATGACAATGCTAGACGTCATCGTTCAAGGGCAGTAACTACCTATCTTCAAAGCGAAGCCGTAACTTCTCTTCCCTGGCCAGCCATGAACACGGATTTGAATCTGACAGAGGATGTTTGGGACATGATAGGTCGTCGTGTACATGCACCGTATCTCGAATTGCATCGAGAATGTTGGCGGCTAACTAAGACGGACTTCTGACGTGTGACTGTAGGAATGAGACGTAGGGTTGAGGCCGTAATCTAAGCAATAGGTGGTTACGCTCGAAACTAAACCTTTGAACCAATGTCATAAAGTACATTTTCAAAAGGGAATATAATCGTGCTTTATGAACTGTGAAGTTAAAAACTTGATAATTTACCTTTGGATTGTTTGACATTATATCCATTGAATAATCATTTTTTGTTGATGTTTGGTGTGTTGTTTACACCTAACCGACCACATTTGCCCTCTGGAGTTATTTAGTCAATACTATCATGACTCAAGTTCTATCAAGCGTCCCTTCCAAACACACGGAGGTGAATACACGGAGGTAAACACACGGAGGTGAACACACGGAGGTAAACACGCGGAGGTGAACACACGGAGGTAAACACACGGAGGTAAACACACGGAGGTAAACACACGGAGGTGAACACACGGAGGTAAACACATGGAAGTGAACACACGGAGGTAAACACACGGAGGTGAACACACGGAGGTAAACACACGGAGGTGAATACCTTTGTGTGTATTGTTCAGTGATTACTTCAGCGACAATGATAAGTTAAATGAAATAGCAACGAATTATCATATTAAACAATCACTTAACTATATTAGATAGCATACATTTTAGTTTCTTAGTATCTTTGTTATTATCATTTTTTTTATATATATCAAACGGGTTTTACCTCACGCACTATTTATAAAAATAGTTTGTGATTGTGTTATGATAATGTATAATAGCCAGATACATGAATAATGAGAACAATAGTGTATAAGGGTACCAACAAGCTAAACCGTAGTATTACCATTGTCGCTAGTGTGAAATACTTGTTAAATCCTTTACAAAAGATTTTTTTTTATAACAATTTTATGTTTCGACGCATTTTGCAGAATCAAAGTTCTTTTTGGATGTTTGCAAAATGAAATAAAAAAAGAAGAGAAAGTGTGTGGGACGAATTCGGAGCTGTGCCCAATTAAAAATCAATGGGTAGCTATAGGTCACACTAGAGCTCGAACTAGACCATCCAAGTATAAACGTTCACATTTACTCAAGATTAACCGCAATCTTCATGTGATTCTGAGTTCTGTTATAATAGGAAGCGAAGGCGTGGAGTCACGATATGTTGTATAACTAGATGTATGTCGTAAATAAATCGTTTGAACATAAAACGTCCATAACATTTGCGTTGGCAGAATCATTACTGTGAGCACCGAAACGAGGACACTGGAGCACTGCTGTAACCGCGTTTCATTTTATGAGCGCGGGCTCGATCATGTGCCATTTGGCAATGCCCATCGTTGCAACGCCACTTCTACATGTAAGGAACGTTCGGGCCAATTATCACTATTTTTACTTGTACCGAAGCGACCTTCATAAACATTTAGTAAGATTGAAAGCATATGTGTGTTTTGAATGATACGAGTTTAAGTAATAGCGTGGAATGATTAAATCCTGTAAGAAGTCGAAATATGTCGTCGGACACTGTCCAGTTCAACGTCTATGTGAATTGGGAGCAGTGTGTCGGACAAACGGACGACCTGCTGAGCCTCAGGAAAAATGCCCATCGCGTGGACGATAACAGTCAGGCCGTCCCGGCAAATTAACTAATATTAATTGCCATATTGTAACTTCAAGCCCAATTAAGAAATACATAAACGAAATCCTATTGATTATAACGGTATGGACTCATCGACAGGCATGGACTCGTGTGCAGGTCTTCTGATCTCCGTATAGCTAATTGGCAGCATTCAGGTGAAGCATGACAGTTACACGTTTTATTATGCAAATTGTAATAGTCAATAATCTTTCAAATATGTCTAAACATAGAGTATTTAAGATCGAAATGTAGAACAGTTGGACGGAATGAAGAAGATGCTAATAGGATCTGGGATAAGTTAAATCAGTATATGAAACATATTAAGATGGCATTTTCTAGGCATTTGCCAGTAAATCAAATGCGTTCCCAATATATGTGGTATATATACGTCAGCTTTACCTTATGGTTTGGAAACTATTAATACAAGTATCAAAAGTACCCAGTCGTGGAATATCAATAAGAAAGATTTTAAAAAGCAACTGTTTAAGTGTAAAACCATATTCATCGAATACAAGAAGAGCTTGTCATGGTAAAAACGGTAATAAATCTGTTACTATTCACGAGATACTGATAAAAACAAACTGGAATTAACGTGCAATCAAAGGTAGATGTCTATTACATCCTTGTCTCGAACACCTGTTTGATTAGATGTGAGTACAAAGTTTTCCCCAGGCATTACCCCAATCATGCATTGGGTTGATAATCAATTAAGTTGACGTTAATGAATAAATTGATATTTTTGTATTTTGTATTTCTCATGTCGTCTACATTGTATTTCAGAAAGCTCCATAAACGTGATAAAATATAATAGAATATTGGAATGGGATAGATACAAATAATTCAATAGATGTGCGGATACTACTATGTTCTGTCTTGATATGAAGTCAATTTCGATATATGTATTATCCATAATGAAAAGCAACGAGAGCTTTTCAAGAAAGGTACGTAGTATCTAGAAAGTCCTACTGTCAATTAGAATCTTAATTTCAAAATAGTTATAGATTCTGTGGAAGACTACGCAATGCAATGGGAAAAACAGGGGAATGCTGAATCGGATTCACTTCAGTTTTGGTCAAATCCATCAGGTCTATCATTCAAATAAAGAATGAAATGATTAAAATATAAAATGAAAACAAAACACAAGTCTGCATTTTTTATTCCGATGTCCAGACCTATCTACATCCATTTTTTTTTCTAAAGACGAAATACAATCACGCTTCTGCTTTTAAACCTTTCCGAATACCAACTAATGATAAGGATACGGACAAGCTATTTTCCAAACTTCCCACTGCAATTATCAGAGCCATTTAATCAGAGTTGCAATCGTATTGTGATATTAAATACTCAACAAGCGGAATAAATGGTATGTATACTTTGGGGAATTCAAATGATTCTTTGATCAATCTCGAAATTTTCTTCTCAAAAATGATTTTCCTATCAAATCCTTTGATGTTTTGACCCTTTACACTACCATTCCTCATATCAAACTGAGAAAACGTCTACATTCTTTTGTTATGCGTGGTTTATTCAAAAGAAAGGCGTACGGCGACATATATATTGTTAATAATTTTGGAGTATATATCGTGAGTAATACAACAAAGGCCAAAATGTTGTATAGTGAGGACGTTATTGTGAGAAAAATTAAGTTCCTGGTTGACAATACTATGTTGAGGCCGGTGGCAAGATTTCCGTGCAGACTCGACATTGCAATGGGAAAAAACTGTGCCCCTCTTCTGCCGATTGGTTTGTTTCCATATCAAGCTGAATTAATGTATGAGCTTGTCAGAGCTGGAAACAAAAACCTAGCCAAGTCCTTCAGTTTCACATTCAGATATATTGACTATGTGTCGTCTATGAATAGCAAGAAATCCATTGACCACATTGATCGTATAAACCCTCCAGGGCTTGAAATCCATGACAACACAGACTCTTCAACTTCAGCCGCTTTCCTCGATATTTACTTACAAC